TACCTCAAGATTAAAAATCTACTAGGTTCACTGAAATAAGCACAAATCTTACACATTCCACTGCCTGGCTACACAGAGAGAGAGAATTCTTTTATGAGTAATTCCACTCTGTAATTCAGTTGAATTGTTATATAAAAAGTACCTGATTAAATTATTTCACTTATGAAATATGAACAATTTGCACAAAATATTGAGGTGAACAAATTTGTCTTTATTGCTGGCCTGTTCAAATAGAAAATCACTAAGTGCAAAATTAAAAGCTTGAGTACTGAGGTGTTACAGAATACTGGAATGAAAAGAATAAATACAGAATTAATTAAAAATTTATTCTTGCCACTGTTTTTTTCAAGTAAAATTCTACATGATTTAAAAACTATTTCAAAAACAAAATGGGTGATGGTGGCTGACAATTGCAATTCAAACTACCTAGGAGGCAAAGATCAGAGGATCACAGTTTGAAGCCAGCCTGGACATAAACAACCATGAGACATAGCCAATTGCCTACTGGAAAAAAATCAAGAAGTAGATTTTTTTTTAAAAAAAATGGTTTCAACTCCTGTTTACTGTGGGTGTTCGTCTTTTTGTTGTTGTCTGTCTGTTGGGAGAATTTAACCGATGGAAATTGAACTCTTTTTGGTTGGCGAGAGCTGTAGTGTTTCCCTACTGTCCCATAGCCATCTTGCTCCCCCCTCTCTTTTTGGTTTTAATATTTTGCTTTTTGTGTCACTTAATTGCTGTTCTGTTCAATCCCAGATATATACTCATCTTCAATTATTAGACCTTATCTTTCATTGTGTGCATACTTAATTCAGATATTGATTACTCATTTCAGAAACTCTCAGCGTTAACTCCTTTAATTGTAGTATTATTTCTTTATACTTATAGAATTGTTTTCTTGTCAGTCATGGGGCTTTAACTCTGGGCCTGGGCACTGTCACGCAGTTCTTCAGTTCAAGGGGAATGCTCTACTGCTTGAGCCAAAGTGCCTCTTCCGGTTTTCTGATGGTTTATTGGAGATAAGTGTCTCATGGACATTCCTGCCCAGGCTCACTCTGAAACATGATCCTCAGATCTCAACCTTCTGATTAATTAGGATTATGGGTGTGAGCCATGGTGCACAGCTTTCCTATAAATTTTGTGTTTCATGTCTAGATTTTTTATTTCTCATTTTTCCTTTTATCTTTATCTCTCTTCTCCTTTCCTTATCTTTTACCTCTCCCTGAATTTAGGTCTTAGTTATCTTCCCTCTCTACTTTTCCATCCCCACATTCCTCTAATCTTATTTCCTCCTCATAATTCTCCCTGAGCCTATTAATTTTTGTTCTGCTGATTCCTTCTTTGATTTTCTTAGTCCAATGATCCATAGTATTTTGCTGTTGAACTTGATTGTATCTGTTGAACGAGATTGCATCTGTACTCATTTTGACTGTGTCAAACAATCTGTGCAACTACAGGACTCTGGTTGATATTGCCTCAAAATAGTGTTCTAGCTTGGAATTGGTTTGGCTATCATACACAAATGGGCAGAACAAGCAGAAACACAAGAAAAATGGCAAGTCCAGGAATCTCAACTTCCACTCATGGTAATCAGGTAACAGAGCAGTTAATGAATAATCTGGGGAGAGTCCCTAAATGCTCTACAAACACTACTGCTAAACATGCTGAATTAAAAGATTGAGAGCCTGCAAAGGTCCTTGTGTGAGCATGATAGGGAAACATGTGAGCATGATGAGGTTAATCAAAGATTAACACAGGTACTTCGCAAGTGTGATGAGAGTAACCAAAGATTAATAAAGAAATTTTGTGAGCTAATCAAAAATTAATACAGGAATAGCCCTAGTGGGGTGAGAATTAAAAAAAAAAAGATTAATGGAGGCATTCATGGAATCCACAAACAGAAAGCTGGAAGAATCCATGGAGGCCACAAAGGGAATGCTGAATGAAGCCCAACTGAAGGAAAGGGAGTCCAATGAAACTATAATCAATCAACTAAGGGATTTGAGAATGAACACTGAAAGCCAAATCAAAGAGGTAAAGAAGTGCTTACAAGTTCTAAAACAGAGCTCCAACAAAGAATTTGAAGTCATAAATCTGAGCAATTAGAAAGGAAAGGAAATAAAACCAAAGTAGAAAGTCTTGACAGTAGGTTAGACCATGCAGAAGATCAAATCTCTGGGATTTAAGGCAGCCTAGACCTTATAGAGGAAGAACAGACAAGTATTCAAGACAAATCCAAGAAATATGATAGATTCAATATTTAGAAGAAACCATCAGAAGACCTAATTTAAGGTTAATGGGTGTAGAGGAGGGCCTAGAGACAGATGTTAAAGGTCTAAGAAATTCAGTTAACAGGATCCTAGTAGGGAACTTGGAAAAAATTATATTAAGTGAAGTAAGCCAGGCCCAAAGAAACATAGGTCCCATGGTTTCCCTTATTTGCAATAACTAGTACATGTGTTGGACAAACAGAAAAGGCCCAAAGCCATGTACATATGACCATATACGATGATGTTAAGCAAAATGAATCCCAAGATAGGGATAGAAATACCTTTTTTCTTTCTTGTTATTCCTTCTAACATATTTATAATGCACCATGTGATTTTTGTTGCTTTGTATGTTCCTCCCCCACGGTAGAACCCCTGGTTTCACTGTATACACGTCTTTAATTCAGGGAGGGGAAGGGAAAAAAAACAAAATTCTTAAATAAGGATACAGGTTGATCCATTGTTAACAATGAGATGTACAAACCACTCTTTTAAAAATGAACTTTATAAATTGTGGGAGGGAGGGGGGATGCAGGCATTGGGGAGGGAGGAGTTGGGAAGGTGCAGAATGAAGTGATGGTAGGGGAAACAAAAGAGAGGCAACGATACTCAATAGGAAATGTGCTCATTAATTTGCTCCTATAACTGTAACCCCTCTGTGCAGCATTTTTACAATAAAAATTGTACAAAAGAAAACCTGAAAAAGAAAATGAAATCAGAACTAAGGAAAAACCTCCCATGCTTCTGGATTGGCAGTATTAAGATTATGAAAATGGCAGTACTGCCAAAGGCTACCTACAAATCAACACAATACCTATGATTTTCCCAAACTCATTCTTCAATGAAATAGAGGAAGCAACTCAAAAATTCATATGGAACAAGAAAAGATCCCGAGTAGCAAAAACAATCCTTAACAGAAAGAATAGTGCTGGAAATATATGAATAGCAAATGGAAGAAAGACAGCCTCTTCAATAAATGGTGTTGGCAAAATTGGTTAAACATCTGTAGAAAACTAAAGCTAGATGGTAGATATCCCCCTACACCAGAATCAACTCCAAATGGATCAAAGACCTCAAAGACAAAGCAGATATACTGAAAACATTACAGGAAGAAATAACAGAAACCTTAGGTCTCCTTGGTACAGGGCAGAATTTCCTTAATTAAGACCCAGAAACACAACAATAAAAAAAAAGCCTGGACAAATGGGATTGCATGAAGCTGCAGAGCTTCTGCATGGCAAAGGACATAGCTAGCAAGATCAATAGAAAGCCCAGGGATTCGGAGAAAATCTTCAGGAGTCATACAATGGGCAAGGGTCTCATAGCTAAAATATGTCGGAACTCAAAAAATTAAATTTCCCAACAACAAATCCTCAAAGAAACAACTGCATGATTAATAAGTGGGCTAAAGACTTAAGGAGACACTTCTCTGAAGAGGAACTAAGAATGGCCAATAGACACATGAAGAAGTGCTCAACTTCTCTAGTACTAAAAGAAATGCAAAGAAATTAGAATATATATAAACAACAAATCTAATAACAACAGATGTTGGAGGGGATGTGGGCAAAAGGGCACCCCCTCATTTTTAGTTTCAATCAATTTGGAAATCAGTATGGAGGTTCCTCAAAAGACTAAACATAGACCTCCCCTATGACCCAGCAATCTCACTTTTGGGCATTTACCCAAATGATCACAAACAAGGCCATACTAAAGCTAACAGCACAACTATGTTTATCATAGCATTATTCACCATAGATAAGATATGAAACCAAACCTGATGCCCCTCAGTAGCTAAATTTATCAAGAAAATGTTTTATATATATATATATATATATATCCACAATTGAGTTCTATGCTTCCATTAGAAAGAATGACATTGCTCCATTTGTTAGGAAATGGAAAGACTTAGAAAATTTTCTATTAAATGAAGTAAGCCAGGCTCAAAGAAACATAGGTCCTATGGTTTCCCTTATTTGCATTATTATAAGTCAAAAACTATGTACATATGACCATATAAGTTGATGTTAAGCAAAATCAACCTCAAGATAGGGACACAAGAGGTTTTATCTTTCCCATTGTTGTTTCCAATATATTTACAATGTACCATGTGATTTTTTTGTTTCTTTTGTATGTTCTTCCCCCATGGTAAAACACCTGTTTTTACTGTATTTGATGTCAGTGCCTACATCTTGTAATTTGGTGATGGGAAGGGAAATAACAAAATACTGAAATAAGAATATAGGCTATCCTATTGAAACAGTGGGATGTACAAGACACTATGTTGAAAATGAACTTTAGAACTTGGTGGGAGGGAGGGAAGAGATAGGAAGGTGGGGAGGGAAGGGAGAGTAGAGGAAAAACAAAGGAAGAGGTAACAATGTTGGACAGGAAATGTATCCATAACCTTACTCATGTAACTGTAAACTCTCTTTACAGTATCTTTACAATAAAAAAAACATATACTAAAAAGATAACAAAACAATTAAAAAAGAGTAGATAGGAAAGAAATAAGTACAGAGTCACATGGAATACATTCAGAGAAAATCAAATAATGACAGTACTTTAATGGTGACACTCACAGAGTCAACTTGCAATAATCATCATAAAAGTAAGAAAATGAGTAAATCCCTGTTACTTTTTAAGATATTTTTTCAAATACAACAAAATTTTAGTGAGAAAACAAGTATAGACATGCAATAGAGGCTCTGTGATTTTTAGAAAGACATACAATTAATATTAAAATGCATTATTTCTCTCAGCATGTGTTTTGCCCCGTATACCATGCAGAGAATTTCTATCTGGCCTCAACAACATGATGTAGCACTTAGGGACAAAGATGCAGCCTAACAGGCCAGCACTGGAAGCTAAGATGGAGAAAACCTCCACGGCCACCATGGTTTTCCCCTTGGTGCTGTGGTAGACAGGCAGGAAGGTGACCCACACACTACAGAACACCAACATACTGAAGGTCAGGAACTTGGCCTCATTGAAGGTGTCAGGCAGGTTTCTGGCCAAGAAAGCCACAGTGAAGCTTGCCAGGGCCAGGGAGCCCAGGTATCCCAGGACACAATAGAAGGCAGTGGCTGAGCCTTTGTTGCACAGGATGATAATGTGGCCATGTTCTGAGTGTGCATCGGTATCAACAAATGGAGGAGAAGTGCCCAACCAGATTCCAGACAGAATGAGCTGGATCAGCGTGCAGATGGGAATGATGAAGTTAGGCATTCCTGACACCAGCAACCACCGCATCCTTCTCCCTGAAGAAGTGACAGAGAAGGCCAGAACCACAGTAACGGTTTTGGCCAAGACAGTGGAAACAGCCACAGTGAACACAACTCCAAATGTGGTCTGCTGGAGGACACACGTGGCTGTGTTGGGATGTCCAATGAAGAGCAAGGAGCAAAGAAAGCAGCAGTTGAGGGAGATGAGCAAGATGTAGCTGAGAGCCCTGTTGTTGGCCTTGACAATGGGAGTGTTGTTGTGCTTTGTAAAAATCCCAATAACAGCAGTGGTAAGAGCAGAGAGGCAGAGAGCTAAGCAGACTAGAGTCATCCCCAGAGGGTCCCTAGAGTCCAGGAAGCTCTCAGATTTCAGCAGGCAGAGGTTTTTCTCTGTGTTGGCATACTGATGATCTGGGCACCTCACACACTGTTCCAAATCTGGCAAGGAGTGGGAGTTACCATCAGTATGTCAGTAGTTACCTTGCTTCTCTGCCCTTGCCCCAAGAAGTTAATTTGTTGAGCTTAATCCATTGTTCTGTGTTGTTACTTTCTAAACTAAAGTACAAATTCTAAGAAGCATACAATTCAATGTGAGCCCTCATCATGTTTTCCTCATAAGTTTTCCTACATTTCAGCATTTTCTTGAAAGCATTTCCCATTATCCAAATATGGAAATAAAAATCTCCTCTACCTAATTAACATACCATATGTAATAATCTGTGCTATTCCTTCAGAAACCAGATAATTCATGAGAAATGTACACATTATGGTTTGGACCTGAATATGTAAATTCCAGACAATTAGATATAATCAATAATCCTCATAATCTTCCCTAGATTTCCCCACCTCAATTACACATTGAACTTTTCAAAGCAAACATGGTGGAGTTTGATGGATATTTTCCTGACTCAGTACCCTAATTGTGAGTCTTCTCATCTAATATAGGCTTCATATTTACTCTTATTTCTGTCCTCTCCGAATTTTATACCTTATGTTCTACTGTATCTAAAGTCCATATCAACAATAATTTTCTCTCATTATTTTATAATTTAACAGGTACTAAACCACATTTCTAAGAAATACACTTATGACTTATGATTTCTAAGTAGAATTAAATCATTTCTGACCCTTACACTCTTCATTCTCTAAAAATTGAAATATATATTCAAATATGTCCAGAATATTCTAATAACAATAAAAATTATAATCACATACCTTTCTTAGAAATTAATGTGTTCTTTCAGTATGCTTCACCCAAAACGCTGCATTTAACTGGACTTTAGCGTAGAATTTAGTTCAAGTGGTCCTCTTTTCTTTATTAGTTTTATTTTTAGTTTTATTTTTTTATTGTGATAATACCGTACAGAGGAGTTACAATTACATGGGCAAGATAACGAGTCCATTTCTTATCAAGCATTGTTGCCTCCTCTTTGTTTCCCCTTCCCCTCCTCCCCCACCCGGTCCCCACCACACACTCCCAGCACCGCCCCCCCCACACCAACTTTATAAAGTTCATTTTTTGACATAACAACTTGTACAGCTCATTGTTGCAGTGGGTCCACTTGTATCACTAGTTAAACAACTTGTTTTTTCCCTTCCCCTCCACAAATTATACCAACATCAAATACAGTAAAAGCATGGGTTAAAAAATATGGAACACTTGGGCTGGGAAGGTGGCTCAGTGGTAGAGCGCTTGCTTTGCATGCCTGAGGCCCTGGGTTCGATTCCCCAGCACCACATAAGCAAAAAGAAAAAAGCTGGAAGTGGCGCTGTGGCTCAAATGGTAGAGTGCTAGCCTTGAGCTGAAGAGCTGAGGGACAGCGCCCAGGCCCAGAGTACAGGCCACACAACTGAACCCCACCAAAAAAAATGTGGAATCCTTTATGAATTTGCATGTCATCCTTGTGCAGGGGCCATGCTTATCCTCTCTGCATCATTCCAATTTTAGTATATGTGCTGCCAAAGCGAGCACTCAAATGGTCCTTTTGAGTTTAAATTTTGCTACATAATAATACATTTTGCCATATTACAGATAATGATTTAACATGTTTTGTGGTGGAAAGGATATCATGTACATGGATACTGGTCCACAAAACTTATCTAAATCTTTTATCACTCTGCAGGTGTTGTGACTTTTCTGGCAGGATTTTATCTTTTATAACATGCAAATTCCTACCTAATAATAGGAAGAATTTTGTCTCTATATGCTATTTATTGTGGATTGTTCCTATTGTCTACTATTGATTGAGAAACACTATGGAGATATGGAGAATGTCTCCAATACTTACACTCTTACCTGTACCATTAGAAATCTCATTCTCAGGGCAAGGGATACAATCAAAGCAACAGACAGACTTTCCCTCCTGAGGGGATTTTCTGAATCCAGGACCACAACTCTCACTGCAGACAGACTGCGGACTCTAAAAAAGGAGATTAGTGTTGATGACAAACAGGTTACTTATTCTTAATATCCTCAAATTCTAGTAGGATAGATATTTGATTACTCAGAATCAAAATTTCTGTAAAGATGCATGTATAAATATGTATATATTTAAACAATTGGATGATATTATTTCAGGTATTATATTATAGTGAAAGAAAAGTGTTTTAACTTCTTCCTATGCCCTTCTTAATGGAAAAAGAAGGAACTTTCAAGTAGCCATTTTTCTTTTTTTTTTATTTTGTTTTTTGGTCGGTCAGGGGGCCTGAAAAATGGGCCTGGGCACTGTCCCTCTGCTCTTCAGCTCAAGGCTAGCACTCTTAAGACACAACACCATTTCCACCTTTTTCTGCTTATGTGGTGTTGAGGAATTGAACCCAGTGTCTCATGCATGCAAGGAACGCACTCTACCACTGAGCCACCTTCCCAGCCCACCATTCTTTTTAAGATGGGAAATCATCTAAAATAAGAAACAACTGGTCAATTGCCTGTTAATTGAAACATAAAACAATAAATAAAATTAAAATTCTACATTATAAATTAACTTTCAAAGTTACTGTGTTACAGTGATATGGAGCTTTGTAATATGATATTTATATTTGGAATATATAAGAGAAAAATATTAAGAAATAACTTGGCAAATAAATATAGTCCATATCGACCCATTAATCAATTACTTCATAAAAACATTTCTATATGGATAGTTGGTAATTGACATTATTGCATTATTGATGAAGACAAGAGGAATAAGTTCTAGCAAGATATTTTGTTCATTTATTTCTACTTTAGATCATCATTTTTTGATTCAACACACCTCCGTAAATGAGATGGGCCATTCTATGTTATCATTGGATAGAGATAATTGATGCCCATGTGGTGCATATGGAGAAAAATTTCCCACTTTCATCACTTGCCTAAGACCTTCTGGAAAATTGCAAAGGTTCACAATGTCATACTCTGCCACCATTTTCTTTGTCTCATCCAAAATCACTTGGTCACCAGCAGGATTGTTGAAATGGATGTTCTTCAGAAAGGGGTGGAGCTAGAAGATATACATC